GGACAGTGTCAGGCAGAGAGGAAAGAACCAGATAAGTCACACACAACCTGCAGCTCTGCCACTTGCAAGAATGGGTCAGCTTTTGCTCACTGGTGCATCTCTGGTGCCAGTTGCTGGCGGCTGTCGAGTGGACCTGCTCCTGAGGAGGGTGGGCTCTCTAGGCCTCCTCCCTTGGGACTCTGAATGTCCACAATACCCTATTCCTGTACCTCCCTGGCAGCTGCACTGACCATTTTAACTTTGGAACATGCTGCCCCAGGATGTAGGAAGCACTCTCCTTCCACGTGTTCAAGTCCAATGTGGAAGACCACCTAACAGGGAGGTTTTAAGGAAATCCAAGCTGAAAACGGGAAGTTGGACTCAATGAAAGTTAATATCCCGGCCGGGTGCGGTGGCTCACGCCTGTAATCCTAGCACTCTGGGAGGCCGAGGCGAGTGGATTGTTTGAGCTCAGGAGCTCGAGACCAGCCTGAGCAAGAGTGAGACCCCATCTCTACCAAAAATAGAAAGAAATTAATTGGACAGCTAAAAATATATAGAAAAAAATTAGCCGGGCATGGTGGCACATGCCTGTAGTCCCAGCTACTCTGGAGGCTGAGGCAGTAGGATTGCTTGAGCCCAGGAGTATGAGGTTGCTGTGAGCTAGGCTGATGCCATGGCACTCACTCTAGCCTGGGCAACAAAGTGAGACTCTGTCTCAAAAAAAAAAAAAAAAGATCCCTTCTAAGCTGGGTGTGGTGGTGTGAGCCTGTAATCCCAGTACTTTTGGGAGGCGAAGGAGGAAGGATCCCTTGAGGCCAGGAGTTTGAGACAAGACTAGGCAACACAGCCAGACCTCCTGAAAAAAAACAAAAAGAAAGAAAAAAAGATTCCTTCTACCTTGGGATTTAATTCTTCTACATCTATTTCTTACTTTTAAACTTCTAAACTTTTTTATTGTAAGTTGTTTCAAACATACTAAAAGGCACGAAAATAGTATAACAAATAACAAACGTGTACGTAACCACCACCTAATTGTCAAATCTTAACTTTTTGCCATCTTTGTTCCTAATGCAAATGAACCCTATGCAGATTTGTTTTTTCAATGAAATATTCATTAAGGTATAATTTACATATAATCAAATGAAGGGATTTAAAGTGTACAGTGTGGCAGGTTTTGACAAATGTGCACATCTGTGCAACCAGCACCTTAGACAAGATATAGAACTTTCCTCACGCATCTCCTCCAGTCAATCCCCCCTGCCAGAGGCAACCACTGTCCTAATTTCTCTCAACATAGATCAGTTTTGCCTGTTCTAGAACTTTATATAAATAGAATCGTGCAGAATGAACTCTTTTTGTGCCTGGCTTCCTTTGCTCACTGCAATGTTTTTGGAATTCTTCCATGTTGCTGCAAGTATTAGTAGTTCAGGTCTCTTTATTTCTGAATAGTATTCCACTGAATGAAGGAACACACCACGGTTTACCTATTCATCTAATAACAGACCTTTGGATAACGTATTTACCCAAGATGAATGAAAACATATGTCCACAAAAAGAACAGTACAGGAATATTCATCATAGCTTTTTGCATAATAGCTCCAAACTGGAAACAGCCCAGATTTGCATTTCATTTTTAAATGAGCACCTCCCCCACCCCCAGACAATGAGGACAAGATGCTTACCTGATTCGCCTGCGTACCCTCACAGTGTTTCGAACATGGCAGGTGATCGATAAGTCTGTTAAATGGATGAAAGCCCAGGAAGAGAAGAGTGCAGAGTTCTCCAAGCCCAGTTCAAGGGTGAGGGGTGAGGATCGGTCCTGGTCAGCTTGCTAGGAGTAAGGCAGAGTAAGCAGGGAAAATGCAAGTGTAAGTTCACACCACAGCCTCAGTGCTAAGCCCAGAGCCTGGCATATGATAACTGTTCAGAATATGTAGGTCAAATGAATGAATGGATGGATGGATGGATGAAAAGGGGTAAGCAGGCTTTCCAGTGTGGAAATCACCAGGTCCTCTTGCTTCCAGCTTATCCTTACTTCCTGGAACAACAAACCTTCCATGGCACAGGGACAAAAAGATAGTGTCACATAGGGAGAAATATCTGAGGGTGGCCCCTGGGGATAAGGACAAACAGATTGAGAGTTTCCAGAGTCAAGAATGAATGGGGTTCTCTCCCCTGCCTCCAAGCCCCATACCTTGACTTTCTTATTCCTGTCTACCGATGGACACAAGCGTAGCATTCCTAGCATTTACGATCGAGAAACTCACCTGGAAAACCCACTGTCATGTCTAGGACAGGTTGTCTTCTCACTTTCCATTGTGACTTCAGGCTGATGACGCTCATACCCTTGGAGAGGCATCAAACAAAGGCAGGTGCTAAATAGCTGTTCATTCACCCCAGCCAGGGGCTCCCACCACTCAGCTCGTCAGGAACCCAGACATCTGGCTTTGGGTGGGAAGTTGATTTTACAAAGGATAAAAAAATGTAGCCTCACTTCAGCCTGTTTGTTCCAATGCAGTGATAAATATATTTCCTTAAATGACAACTCTTAAAAATGTCAAGTCCGTCTAGGCAGGAACTAAAGATGTCATGAGAAGTGTGGAGAAGAGGAGGCTTATTAGCACTCTGACCTCAGTGTGGCTCTTGATCACAGAAGGATTAGTAGAGAAGCATCTAGAGATTTTTATCCACTGATGTGCCGGCTAGTTCTGGAGCTCGAAGGCCACTTAGTGTCTAAGAAGAGGTATTGGGGAAAGGTCACTAGGATTCCAAACTCCTACATTCTTCCGGTTCTGCCTCCAGCTATGACAGGACCTCAGATGAGGGCGTTTACTCATTTGTGCAATGGGAATGTCAGCTTAGACCCTCTGTAAGACCCCTTTCAGCCTAGGCGTCTAGTATTCCAAACTCTAAGCACAGATACAGTTGATCTCATCACTATAGATGCTTTTGGGGGCAACTTCACAGCAGTCTCTGGCGGGGGGCTCATGTATTTTAAAGACTGAGATGAATGTTGTAAAGACTTCATTCCCATTGAGGAGATTTTTCTGCTTGTGTTTTCTCTGAGTCCTGTTCAAAAATGTTTTCAGTCAACATGTCAGTGTGGGTGGAAAAAAAATCTGGAAGATTTTCTGTTCTCTATCCTTGTTGATAATACTCACAAACAAGGCCCCGTTGCCTTCGGAGGATGGTGGAAGGATAGGAAATTCTCATCCTTTCGGGTCTAAAAATAAGTCCTTGTTGATGATCTGGACAATGTGATCGCTTGAATAAGCAGCAGCCTGGAGTCTCACCACATGAAAGAGAAGGGTGCATTTCCCTGCCTGGGCCCAGGACAGCAGGATTAAAATAACATTGACCTTTTGCAGAAGAACACTGAGAAACTCTGTCCATGGCTTTCCCTCCTCTCTCATTTTATGGCTTTGTACTGAATTTCATATGGAATATCTAAGGACGTACTTCAAGCTAAACATCGTTTATTTCCTGTTAGGACTTAAAGTGGTTTATATATTCAGCCTGACCTTTAAAGACTTTAATGACATGAGTAGGATTTGTAAGGATTCGCTTATGAAAGATCTTAAAAATTAAAGATCATTCAGTCAGTAGAAAGGGTTTTTTCCCCCCTATTAGTTGACTGACAGAAGTTTTGGCCTCAAATGTGTATTTGTTTACTTTGTAGGGGCCAAGGGAAAACTTGCCCTTTGTTCCTGAAGGTTCACTGAAAATCAACTGACAAAAGGCAGATTAGTAGAGAAAAAAGGCATACAGAATTTATTTTATTATAACATGCATGGAGGGAAATCACAGGTGAGTGTTTACCTCACAACCACTGCAGTACTGATGCTTATAAACCCTTCTTCACAGGAGATTGGGAGATGGGGAAATGTGGATGACTTAAGGGAGACAGCAAATGATTTTTAGGGGAATTTAATGGGTTCGGAGAACATACAATCTAGGACAAGTCTCTCGAGCTCACAGAGCAGACAATGGCTGGTAAATGATTTTCTGTGAAATACTGAATGGGACCAAAGCAGAAGACAATGGTTTGTAACGAAAGTCTGTCCAGTTGTATTGATAGACTTCAGTCTTCCAATGACATGAAGTTAATGAAAACCCAGAGAAGGGACCAGAGGTAATGGTTTTCTTCTTTGTTGGGTCTGGACTTTAGGCAGATGAGGGAACTTCAGAGAACAACTTCATTCTGTGCTTTGGGAGCGACAGAGGATTGAGAGACAGGAGGGAAGGAGGCTCAGAGAGATCTTGAGGCTGCTTCCATAGTCCAGCAAGTCAAAGCACCAGATTTTGGGGTATTGGTTTCTGATCCCCAACATTCCCCTTTCTGAAACTTCCTTAGAAGTTTCAAACACTAAAAACTGAGCTGGTAGCCGTAGAGAAAAAAACTGAGCTAGTAACTGAATGGAAAAGGGTCCCATGAAAACAGTCACTCCTTTCTGGGAATAGGCCAGTTTAATTAAATAGCTCCATCTCAATTTAGAAGATGATGTTGTAGATGGGCTCTCAGAGCTAGACCTCTATATAGGATGCAGGCAAACAGATCTTTAATAAGAGGCATTCTATGGTAACAAAATGAAAAATGATTAATGTCTGGAGTAGTCTATAAACTAGTTTCTTTCAGAGTCTGGTGGGTAGTCAGCTGAGAAAACCAGTGGCAATCTGATAGATTTTCCTGGATTGTTTGTGTGTAAAGTTTGTCCAAATATAAGCTGTTGCTCTGATTTTTCTTCAAAGTCAAATTGACTAGCTCCAGCTTATAGGGCCTTATAAAAAAGACAGTTTTAATTTTTAGTGATTTCAAGTCAAAAGATTGAAAAATTGAAAATGTTAGTCTGGAGAGTTGCAGCCAGATATTGGAGCAAACTGAAAATTCAGGATTCAGTCCAGATAATAAAAACTCAAAAACAATGGGCTAGACAGAGCTAGAATGTCTTAACAGGTAAACTATAATTTTCTTCTGAAATATAACTTTTCTCTCTCCATTTCCCCCTTTCTACTAAGGATATTTATGACAAGACTAATTTGTTTGTAAAATAAGTTTACTTTCATTAACTTGGCCTGACTATTTGCATAAAGAGCACTAGGAATAGTGATTTATCATATAGATTGTTTTAAATTGGCTTTGCTGGAACTTTTCATAAGAAACCTCAGATTAGACTTTTAAAAACATCTAAAGGCTAGACAGCCAGGCCAAGGATTTGACTATCCACAGATTGTGTCTGTAATATCTGCATCAGTTGGAGGAATTCCTCTCTTCTTGAGGTCCTCAAAATATCCTGAGGTTCCCAGGCCTATTATAAAGTGACATTCTTTGCTTGTCACAGGCAACCATGTGACCCATATATTTAAGGTATCAGGCCAGTCTTTCCAAGGGCTTATATTGGCTTCATAATGTTAACCTCAGTTCCTTAAAGCTGTCTGGTCATATGTGATAATAAGACAATCCATACAAAGTCTTGGTAAAATAACCAGTGTCTCCAATTGTTCTCCATTACAAAAGAGAACAGATTCTTTTTGAACTTATGCAAATAACTATATTGCCATAAAATGAGAATACTCACAATTAGTTTCTGGATTTTGGAGGGACCAAGTAAGGAGAAAGGTAAATGTTTCAGTTTTGCTCACAGAAGTATACTTTACCGAATTGTTGTAAAGCTATAAAATAGCTTTAAGAAAGTTTTCTCAACTCTGGAAAACAAAACATAAAAAGAATCAGCAATATTTCAAACAAAAAAAGTCATGCAAATCATGTTAGTCCAATGTAATTAATTCTTGTTTTGCTTGATGCTGAGTTAGCAATTTTATGAGCCCAGTTTTTTCATTAGAATTCTTGAATTTTTTTTTACCCAGTCCAATGATATGATCTTAAAGTGATCAGAAACCTATATTCAAGAATACTTGTCACGGTCTTTTTCACGAACCTTTTTGAAAATACAACACTTTAGGATGTGCAAAGAGCTTTCAGGAAAAAAGCATCAGCGTAAAGCTATTAAATGTGTGCAACAGGACTTAAAATGGCCATTGTTAAAGACAGACTTGACAATGAAATTTGGTTATTTTTTTGTGGCCTACAACAATTTAACATAATCATAATTATAACTGATATCATATACCAAGACATATTAAACTTTCAGGAATCTCATACAATTTTGGGACACATATTAATAACATATCCATACAATATTTCACAATACTTCCCACATAATTTAACATATCAAATATAACTATTTATTATCTCCCTTTTAAATGCTTTAGGGGCCCTGTGAAACATTCCAAAATTAGTTTGAGGTCACAAAAATTTAATTTTAGATCTTGAAATTTGATTTTGGGAGGTTTGTCAAATATGTCAAAGGTTTAAAATGCTTAATGAAAATAGGACCACAGGTTACTGTAAAATAATAGTCATACATTTAGCCAAAGTGACAATTAAAAAATTTCAGAAAGCAAAATCCTTTACTCTTTAACAGAGAGAAGATTCACTTTTCCAAAGAATCAGAAGACCTAATAAAGACAGCATGAGGCACACAGAATCTGTTTCTCCAAAAAGTGAACAAAAATCTGTTATTTTTAAAATCAATACTACATGAAAACATTATTTAAAAGAGAAAACCAAATTCTAGGTTTGTATTAATGTACTTTTTTTTTCTTTGAGACAAGGTCTCACTCTGTTGCCCAGGCTAGAGTGCCGTGGCATCAACCTAGCTCACAGCAACCTCAAACTCCTGGGCTCAAG